ATCCACCCCTCACTCAGGGCTTCCTTGTCCTTGGTCCTGTGTCTGGATGGCGTCAGGTGGCCAATGTCCTTCCTTCTCCTGGATTCTGTCCATGAGTCTCAGGGCTCAATCCTTAGCCCCTCCTGCTCCCTCCTTCCCTCCTCGGGGAGCTCATCTCGCCCACGGCCACAAACATGTCACTCCTCACGTCACATCCCTCTCTGACGGGGAGCTCCAGGCGCCTCTCAAGGGATCTACTCAACACTGATGTCCGGCAGCCAAACCACACCCAACGCTCCCAACACCGAGCTCCTCTCTCCTCCCTGTACCTGCGCCCCCTCAGCTACTATCCTGGTCAGGAAGGGGGTGCCATCCCATCCTTTCAGGGGCTCAGGTGGACCCCGGAGGCTTCTTGGACCTCTTCCCTTCCTATCCCACATCCATTCAGGAAATCACCCGACCCTTCCTTCAGAACATGCCAGGATCTGACCACTCACAACCCCCACTTGCCTCCTCCTCCTAATGCAGTGGCCTCTACATGGACCTATGTGATCTGCCCCCAGCATCCCTTAACCTCATACCCAAATGTCTGAGCTCCACATAACCAGAGTGGAGAATGCTCGGTGGCCAGCCCGGAGTCAGTGAGGACCGCACAGGGACCACGGTGCCTTAGCAGTAGGACTGGACTGTGCTGGAGCAAGGGTCCTCTGTAATCGTCCTAGCAAACCTTAAAAACTGTCTCAAAGGCACCAGCCTGACTTACTCATATCTTAACTGCCTGCCCGACAGAGCCCACGCTGCTGAAGGAGAGAAAAAAAAGTCCAGACGATCAATAATATAAGAAAAAAATTCAAACGTGGATCTAGGCAAAGGAATGAAGGGAAAAATGTCACTGACTGCAGAGAGCAAACAATGGTAACCACGTATTAAGAGTTTTCAGTGGAAACGGAAATGAAATGAATGTCAAATAGCACAGAGAACGAGGCGGGAGAAAGGAAAGCCCACAGTTGTGAGATTCTCACACCGCTGAGAAGCGGTGTAATATAATTAAGGACTGTGATGAGTTGATGGTACATGTTGTGAAAGTAAGAGAAACCTCAAAGAAATTCAATAAAGAAGCGAAGATCACAAACCGAGAGTGGAGAAAAAAAATGGAATAAAAAAAATGCTTTTTATGCAAAAGATGTAGGAAAAGAGAGAAAAACCTCAAAAGAGATTGAATGAGACAAGTAGAAAATGAGTATCAAGGTAGTGGATTTAAATCCAACCATATCCATAATTACATGTAACGTGAATGGTTTAAGAATGCCTCTTGAAAACTGAAATTGCCAGGATTGATAAAGGCTGCCTGTAAGAAATCCACTTCAAATATAAGGACACAGATATATTAAAAGTAATAAGATGGAAACGAATAGAACCATGAGCACTACGCAAAAGAGAGCTGCAGTGGCTACATTAATAGGAGATAAAGAAGACTTTAAAACAAAAAATAGTACCAAGGATAAAGGGACAATTTCATATGAATAAAGAAGCAGATACATCAAGAAGACATAACAATGCTAAACAAGTATGTACCGAATAACAGAAATTGAAACGGTATGAAGCCAAAACTAAGATAACTGAGAGAAAAAAGAAATGTATCCACAATATAGTGGATATTTCAACCTCATCTTTCATTAATCTGTAGAACAAGTAGACAAAAAAAAATAGTAAAGGTATAAGAAGCTTGAAATACACTATCAACTAACTTGACCTAATTGACATTTCTGGATTATTCCACCCAAGAACAGCAGAACATACATTCTTTCCAGGAGTATCTGAAACAGTACACCATTTATCTCAATAAATTAAAAAAAGGCTAAAGTTACACAAAGTTTACTTTTAATCAGAAGAGAATTAATAGAAATCAACAACATAAAGATAGTTGGAAAATATCCAAGTATTTGAAAATTACATAATATACTTCTAAATAACAAATGGACCAGAGAAGGAACTACAAGGTAAATTAGAAAATATTTTGAGCTGAATAAAATTGAAAACACAACAAGCCAAAATGTATGAGATACTGCTAAAGTATGTGTAGAGGGAAATCCCTAGCTTTTAATCATTATAAAAAAGGAGAAAGATTTAAAATCAATGACCTAAGCTTCCACCTTTATTAGATAGAAAAAGAAGAACAAATTAGACCAGGAGCAAAAGAGGAGAAATCAATGAAATGGGAGACAAATAGAGGAAGCCAATAAAACCCAAAGCTGGGTCTTTAAAAATAAAATCAATAAAATCTAGTATAAATCTTTAGTTAGGCTAATTAACTCGAAAAGGGAAATGATATAAATTACTAATATCTTGAATGAAACTGAGGATTTCACTATCATCCTATGGACATGAAAGATCACTAGGACATATTTCAAACTACACCATGCCAATACATTCTTAGATGAAATGGACACTACCTCTATAATGAATTTCCAGATAAGTACAAACCCTGTATATACTAATCTATTTAAGAAACCGAACTCATAATTTAACACCTTCCCACAAAGAAACTCCAAGCACAGAAGGATTCACTGAGGATTCTATCAAGCACTTAAGATAGAAACAAGGGCCCTAACCGGTTTGGCTCAGTGGATAGAACATCGGCCTGTGGACTGAAAGGTCCCAGGTTCGATTCCAGTCAAGGGCATGTACCATGGTTGCGGGCACATCCCCAATAGGAGGTATGTAGGAGGCAGCTGATGGATGTTTCTCTCTCATCAATGTTTCTAACTCTCTATTCCTCTCTGTAAAAAAAGCAATAAAATGTATTTTTTAAAAAGATAGAAACAAGGCCAACTCCATACAAATCCTCTCAGAAAAATCACCCAGAGGCCCTGGCACCCTTCCTAATTCGTTCTATGAGGTCAGATGAATATATAATGAGAAAGCTAGGACCAACAGCCCTCAACAAATTCACAAAAACATTTGCAAATTGAATGCAGGAAATATATCATGGCCAAACAGAGTTGGTACTAGGGATGCAAGATTAGTTTAACAATTTAGAATCAATCAGTAAAATTCACCATTAACAGGATGGAGAAATAAAACACGAACCTCTCAATAGAGGCAGAAAAAGCATTTGACAAAATTCAACACCAATTTATAATGAAAACTCTGAACAAATTAGGAATAGAAAAAAAATACAACCCCCTGGTAAAGGACAGCTAAAGGAAATTATAGCTAATGTCGTAATTGATGGTGAAAGACTCCATATGATTGGTAACAAAGCAAGAATCTACATTCTCACATATTGTCCTGGGTCTCCTAACTAGTACAATATGGCAAGAAAAAGAAGTAAAAGGCATCTAGATTTAAAAGCAAGAAGCAATTCTCTATATGCTTCTTGGAAAATCTACAAAAAGGTATTGAACTTAATCAGTGATAGTTTAGCGAGGTCAATAAACAATAGCATTATATTTCTATAAAATAAAAACAATTAGAAATAAAAAAATTGCAACAAATCTATTGACAAGAGCATGAAAATAGAAAATACTTAGTAATAAATATATCAAAATGTATTCAAGAACTTTACCCTGACAACTATAGTAACACATTATAGAGAAACATTAAAAGAAACCTAAATGAGAGATATACCATATGCATGAATCAGAAGGTTGAACATTAAGATAGTAATTCTTTCTAAAATTGTCTATATATTTAATACAATTTCCATCAAAATCCCAGTAGACTTTTTTTTTTTTTGTACCAAATGACAGACTGATTCTAAAACTTATTTGAAAATAGAAGGGACCTAGAATAAGCAAAATGTTTATGAAAAAGAAGAGAAACCCTTGGACTTGCATTTCTTGAATCCAAGACTTACTAAAATTCTACAGGCCAAACCCTAACAGAGACATATACTTAACCATATGATCCAGAAATCTCATTCAATCCCATAGAAATGAAAATATAGCCCAGCTGGTGTGGCTCAGTAGTTGAGCATTGATCTACAAACCAAGAGGTCACAGTTCAATTCCTGATTAGGGCACATGCCTGGGGTTCAGGCTTGATCCCTGTTGTGAGGGATCATCATTGATGTTTCTGCCTTTCTCGCTTTCCCTTCCTCTCTGAAATCAATAACAACATATTAAAAACCAAAGAAATGAAAATACACATCCCTACATATATGCTCATAGCAGCCCTATTCATAAAACTCAAAACTGGAGACAGCTCAGAGATCCTTCAGCAAGCGACCAGATAAACCAGCTGTGGTCCTTCCCACCATGGGACACGACTCACCTATAAAAAGGACTGACTTACTGACACACTCAACACACGGGCACATCTCAAAAACATCAGGTCGAGCCAAGAAGAGCACACCTATTACGTAATTGCTTTTATCTGATCAAATCTCACCTTCGGTGTCAGAAAGCAGGTCGGTTGCTGACAGAGAGCAGGAGTAGAGGGAGGGGGATCCTGGGAGGACGCACCTGAGAACTTCTCCAGGTGATGTAAGTGTCCCGTGTCTTCGTTGTGGGGCAGTTACAGGGCGTATACATTTTCCAAAGCTCATCAACACATACACTCCAATAGGACCATTTATCACGCAGAAGGCATACAGAAGTAAGAGTGCACAGTTCCGGGAGGAAGTGGGGTTTTAGTGAGACAGAGCCCCGGCAGAGACATCCTGAGGGCTGCAGGTTGCACATGGTCCACCTTTGTGGCTCAGAGTCTAAATGGGCAGGGCAGGCGCTGACCTCAGGAGGACGAGAGGGGACTGCCGCCCAGTGTCTGCTCAGTCCCTGGGGAGGGGATGGCGGTGTGTGTGTGTGTGTGTGTGTGTGTGTGTGTGTGTGTGGTGTGTGTGTTCCTGAGGAATTGCCATGGGCAGAGTAGAAGCCTGTCTTGGCAGTGATAAACGGCTTTCGATCCTGGCATCCTATGGGGCTTTAGATGCTAATGCATAACGAATACACACTCATCACAGGGTAGCCTGGAGCTTTCTTCTTTTCCTTTTAATTTTTAAAGTGATAGCAGGGCCTTACCGGAGAGCTGCTTGAGGGCCACGGGTCGCACTTTGTAGGGAGTGCTGCAAGAGAGAAGACAGGCCACCGTGAGATGCTGTCAGAGACGGCGGCACACCTGGCCCCAGAGATAAGCGCTCAGGTGGATTAGAATTCGCTGGATTCGTTTTCTTTTCTTTCTTCTTCTTCTTTTTTTTTTTTAAAATTAGTTCTTACCTAAGTGGGTGGTTCAGTGGTTGAGTGTTAACCTATGAACCAGTAGGTCACAGTTCAATTCCAGTCAGGGCACATGCCCCAATTGTGGGGTGTGCAAGAGACAGCCAATCAATGATTCTCATTCTTGATGAGTTTTTTTTTTTTAAATATGTTTTATTGATTTTTTTTTTTTTACAGAGAGGAAGAGAGAGGAATAGAGAGCTAAAAACATCGATGAAAGAGAATCATCGATCAGCTGCCTCCTGCACACCCCCCACTGGGGATGTGCCCGCAACCCAGGTACATTCTTGATGTACCTGGGTTGCGGGCCCCCCCATCGCCACAGGATTCCGAACGGAGCCCAACTCCCCCTGAAAAGCCAACCTCGGCCGCGCATGCGTACAGGTAAACCTCTCATGGGCAAACTGGGGGATGGGGAACCCCAAACTGGGAACGGAAGCAACAGTGGGCGTGGGGCTGGATGTGGAGACTGGATGTACCGAGCAGGCACAGGAACCTTCCAGGCTCAGAGCCAGGTGCCCGGGTTGAGTGCCTGGCCCCTCCAGGCTCACCTTGGCTCCTTGGTTCTTGCTCTGGACTCTGAGCAGCTGGGTGCTCTCAGACCCAGGCATGCTGCTGCCGGGACCCACCCGCTCCCAGCTCGGTCAAGGTTGAGGGTCTCATCCTTCTCTTCCTCAACAACAAACCGGTGCAAACTACTCTTGGGATAAACTGCCTTGGGCTTTGATTGCATTTGTCTGTTTTTGAAACCTTTACTGCCTGGGTGCCCTCCTCGGTGGGAGGAGCCCAGCTGGGATCCAGGAGGCCTATCCGCTAGGCCGAGGGATGCCCGTATGCCACCTCACGGCACACAGCCCCTGCACCCACCGGAACGCTACACCTGTGATCACGGGAAACTGGAGGAGCACTGTGCGATGGCACCCGGGCTGTGTCACTCTGGCCCCTCCTCTCGCCACGTGCCCGGCCACACGCCTCTGGCCCTCTCCCCCCATGGGGCAGCCATAGTATCTCCAGACTTCACCAGGTGCCCTCTGTGGTGAAGCGCTGCCACAGAATCAAGTACCAAATCAGACATATAAACGAGGGACATAGTCTGAATAGACCAGTGGTCGGCAAACTCATTAGCCAACGGAGCCAAACATCAACAGTAGTATTAAAATTTCTTTTGAGAGCCAAATTTTTTAAACTTAAACTTCTTCTAATGCTACTTCTTCAAAATAGCCCAGGCTGTGGTATTCTGTGGAAGAGCCACACTCAGGGGCCAAAGAGCCGCATGTGGCTCGCGAGCTGCAGTTTGCTGACCACTGGAATAGACAAACCGTTTTAACCCAATTCAGACAAAAATGGTTTCGCTCTATCAGAGACCAGCTTGCCCTGACAAGGCACTGGTCTGAGTGACGAGGTCTCTTATCTTGTGCTAAAGTCAGGGTGACAGGTCACGTGCTGGCTTTCCTCCTGCTCAGGGTAGGCTTTGGCTGGCTGAGAGCTACAGGAATTTCGTTGACGTCTTTAGGGAGCCAATTAGCACCGTGCCTTCCGGAGAGCCCGGGGCACAGAAATGGGGGCGGAAGATCCTGGTGAGTGAAACCCAGGGAGGCTGATGGGTGCGGGGGGTGGGGGAGGCCTGGCTGGGGCGTCCAGGTGCTCAGGGAAGGCCAGCGCTGGCCACGGTCCCCCAAACTCTGTACTTCCCCAGGGTTTGTTATCTGACCCGCTCTGTGCACCGACGCCTTGGCTGTCTGAGGCGGGCTGTGCCCTTGCCTGGGGCTGGGGCCCTGCACCCAGCCTAGTGAGGATGCGGGCAGGCCGGCAGGCCGGCTTCTGGGGCAGGAAGAAGAGCAGGTACCCATCCTGGGTGCTCAGGTGCACATACTGGGGGTGGGGTGGGGTAAGCCTGCAGGGAGGTCCCAGTCGCCGGTCACTAGGCAGCCGCGAGCCCTCCAGTTGCTGGGTAGGTGAGGGCCTGCCTGGTGCAGGCTTCTCCTGGAGGCTCAGACCAGCTGCTCAGACCAGATTCACACGTGTCCCTTGGAGGGGGTGTTCAGTGAGGACCAGGAGACACAGACTGGGGTCCCACACCAGATCGCACTCCTGCTCCCCACAGAGAATGCAGTTTACATTGCCTCGCCCAGCCCCCAGGATGAAGTGGGAGTCCACGGGGGGGCTCCACAGAGAACTGGGCCCCGGGGCTGATCAAAGGTGGAGGTGCCTTGCTCAGAGTCCCCGTCCTTCCTTCCTCCTGCCACACACAGTGTACTCATATTGGAAAACGTGTTCCCTGCTGAGCCCTCTCCTGCCCCTCCCCTCTGCACCCTTCCCTGGCTCCCTCCCCTCCCCTGTGCAGAGAGGAGTCCTCAGGGCTTCAGTGCCGGGATTCGTCCTGGTGGGAAATGCCAACTGTGCCCGGGGGTTCTGGTCAGGGAATGTCCTGCTCCCCTTTTGGAGGTGGACGGGGTGAGGGGGTGGATCCATTACTCGACACTCAGCCCCCCTGCCTCAGTTTGCCCATCTGCGAAATGGTAATAACACCAGTCCGAGCTCACAGGGCTCCCGGCCCGCTTACAACTGTCACCATCTGGGTAAGGAACCAGCTGCACGAAGCCTCCTTCACCGGCCCTCCCTCCCCCACTCTCCCATCCCGGGTTTAAATTCAGATTTCTACAGCATTCCATTACAAAACCACCACAGAGGTCCCTGTGTGCGGAGAAGGGTCAGAGACACCAGGAGGGCAGGACAGGACTAGGCCGTCAGCGCTTACCTTTCGGAGTTTGCGGGCATGGTGGGGTCGATGGAGACCATGGCATCGTCCGTGGTCAGCAGAGAGATGGTCGTGTTCCTGAAAGACACGCCAAGCCAGCGCCTTCACATGCCAGCCTCGCCGGGGCGCACCCTGGGGTGGCCCTCGAGCGCGAGAGGAGCCGGCAATCCCGAGCGCTCCGGACTTGTGCTTCGGGCCTGGTGCTCGATGGCAGACAAAGTGGAACGGCCGAACCATCCTAAGTGCTCGGCAGACTTCCAAGTCGTTTACAATGGGAACTGGAGAAAGTCTCCTTTATTGAGTTGGAAGATTAAATACAACTGAGGTGAAATGTAAGTAAACACTAACTCGTTGGCCTTCCTCCTTCATTCCTCTGGGAGTCCACCTAACGGGCACGGATCCGTTTTCAGTGAGAATGTGGGGTTTCCCTCCACCCTCTCCTCCGGTCCTGCCTGGACCACGTCAGGCGAGCTGTATTTTTAAAATCTGTGCAATGGGCCGAAACCGGTTTGGCTCATTGGTAGAGCGTCGGTCTGCGGACTGAAAGGTCCCAGGTTCGATTCCGGTCAAGGGCATGTACCTGGGTTGCGGGCACATCCCCGGTAGGGGGTGTGCAAGAGGCAGCTGGTCGATGTTTCTCTCTTATCGACATTTCTAACTCTCTATCTCTCTCCCTTCCTCTCTGTGAAAAATCAATAAAATATATATTTTTTTAAAAATCTGTGCAATGGGGCGACACGCAAATCTCAGGGCTGATCTAAAGAATAACACATTTATTTCTTAGCACAGGGCTTAACAACAGATGCCCGAGCCCAGTGGTCAGCAAACTCATTAGTCCACAGAGCCCAATATCAACAAGTACAACGAATGCAATTTCTTTTGAGAGCCAAAATTTTAAAACTTAAACTTCTTCTAACGCCACTTCTTCAACATAGACTCGCCCAGGCCGTGGTATTTCGTGGAAGAGCCACATTCAAGGGGCCAAAGAGCCGCATGTGGCTTGCGAGCCATGGTGTGCTGACCACTGCTCCAGCCGGTAGGCTATGTCTGCTGCTACAAACTGCCTGCCGTTTGCTGGAATCCAGCTCCGAGTCCCTGTCTCACCACCTGTGAAACTCCCTTCTCGCTCACCTTCCTGGACCCGGACTTTAAAGGCAACCGTTGTGCCAAAGCGACTCCCGACCACTCTGACCGAAAAGTTAAGACAGCAACTCCCCTGGCTCTAGGACTCTGTTGATTTGGGGCAACAAGTCTCCTGGAATTCTGGCAATCCTATAAGGCTGGCAACTGGCCTTTTCAACTCATCTCTGAAGTCAGTCTTTTCCCAAATACTGGCCTGTGACGGCCGGCCTGGGATAGAGGAGGCATCTGCTGGACCGTTTGGGGATGGAGGCGGGGGAGGGAGGGAGGCAAAGCCAGACACAGCCGCCCTCTGTCATCCTTTCTCCAAAAGCAGATGAATAAACGAAGGGAAAAGGAAACTCCTGATGCTATTATACTTTCTGCTTGATTCCGCCCAACTGTTTCCTCCGGGCGGACATGGGGAGCCTGTGGCACCAGCGGGCCGGCTGTGGCCGAAACCGCCGGGGTTTCATCCCTCTGCGCCTCCCATCCCTCCCCCAGGGCCACGCCCCCTCTTTTCTGGTCAAGGTGAACTAGGGATGCCCTCTGCCCTCCGGCAGGACTGCGGCCGGCGGGACACTCACCGCGGCAGGCCGGTGGCGATGCAGAAGAGGTCCATGATGTCGCTGGAGTTGCAGTACTTGCTGAAGACCACCTGTGGACAGGGCGACAGGCGTGAGCAGCGGGGCAGCGGCTGCGGGTCCTTGGGCTTCCTCTCCGGCCCCAGCCCGCAGGCTTATTTAAAAAAGAGAAATCCTTGACCTTGGGCTCTGGAATGTTACACACGATAACACGTCACTCGGCGCACGCAGAGAGGCGGTGACTGATTTCATTGCTTTGCCGTCGAACAGAGTTGTAGAAACCGAAGCGAAGCCCCCACAAACACCCCCGCAGGCGACAGGCCGCTCCAGGCCCGCCCTCCGGGGGGCCTGGCTCACCGCAGACAACCTTGGCTCTAAGATAAGGTGACCAGACGTCCAGCTTTTGGTGGGACCGTTCCGATTTTTAACAATTTGTCCCTCATCCCGTGGCATTTTAAAAAAGTCCCGGTTTTTGGAAAGAATGCACGACAAGCTAGGGAATGGTGGGAGAACGGGAAGGGGGAATATTCTGTTTTCGGCGGCCATGTGGCTATTTAGCCAGGATATGAGTTTTATATTTACTTTTGTTAATTTTATAATGTCAAACTTTAATAATAACAAATAATTGTTGAGAACTGATTATCGAGAACTGCTTATCAAAGTTCGCAACGACGAAAACGTTTTGTAACTGTCTCTCAGACGATACACATCGTACTGCGTGCAAGTGAGCTGGTTATACAAGTGATGTCATTACAAATCAGCTATTCAGATAATTTAGGTAAGTAATTTATTTATTTATTTCATAAATACATAAATTTTCTTGAATTTAGCAGACAGTACTCGTATTATCGAATATTTATATTTTATAGTGGTGGCAAAAAGTCTAGCGCCGGCCTTGAAAGTGACACTTACAACTTACAATGAAGTGTTGAGACTTTGAAAGCCATTTTATGTGTGAAATATAATTTAACAAATTCTTGTGAAAAATTTCATGACCTTTTAAACAACGACAGCAATCTACTAAAAAAAATTCACTCAAATGAGAAATATGCCAAAGAATAAAATACTATACATAATTTTAAAAATTTATTATATTTGTAAATTGTCCTTATGTTGAAATTTAAAAAAATAGATTACACTACTATTTTTGCGTTCTATGAAAATTTTTGTTGCTCCATATAGACCAAATTTTTAATCAAGAACAACCCCCTCCCGTCAATGGTGTCCCACTTTACCAATGTTAAAATCTGGTCCCCTTACTCTATGATGTCTCATTGCGGGAGTCCCCAGTGACCTCATGAGGGCCATTATGTAAAATAAAATAAAATAAAATAAAATAAAATAAAATAAAATAAATAAAATAAAATTAAGGTTTTTAGCTTACAAAATAGTGTCTGTTAGGACTAAGGACTGATGTGGCATGAGGAAGTCGCAGTGAGAAGGGAGTGGCAGTGAGAAGGGAGGTGCTGTGAACCAGGTCTCCAGAGCACACCCCCTGGTGCCTGCCCACCCGGGCGGGAGAGACCGAGGTGGCATCAGCACCTTTCGTCCAAGGGGTCCCAGGTCCCTCCCTGGGCGACGTCAAGTTCACCGAGGGAGCTGTCCTCCAGGCCTGAGCGCGGGGGCACAGTCCCCGCCCCCGCCGAAGCTCCACTTCCATCATAGGTGTCTCCCTGGCCCGGCCCTGCTTGCTCACTGCGCGAGCTGGGCTGGAGGGAAGGAAGCTGGGTGGGTGGTGACTTCTCAGGGCCCAGGCCACCATGTTCAGCGAAGACCAGTCTGCATCGTCCTTTAGTAGGAACAGTTAGACATAAAGAGCAGGTGTTTCCCCCCCAGACCAGGCCCTGTGTGCTGTGGGGGAAAAACAGACAACCCGATGAGACGGCTCACTGAGACCCGGCAGGAGCAGAAGGACGGACACGGTGCGGTGCTGTCGGCTGCGCTGTAGATGTTTTGACGTTTCATTTTCTGGATGGCGAGGGAAGCCCTTTCTCTCCCGAAGCTGCACGGAAATCTGATCCGCCTAACAGCTTCTCTGGTAAAGCGAAACGGACATTTCTAAATGCCATCTGGGTTCCACTGTCTGCCCTCCCGTAATTCAGACACTTGGATGAGCTTTTGCTCTTCATGGCAATGCTGTTCTCTGCAAAGTCTCCCGGAGACCCGCTCTCCTCTCACCGGATGCACGTGGGGGAATTGCTCACTTATATACTCAGGGGTGACCGGGCCCTTGTAAGGAGCCGAGTGTGACGGTGAGGAATGGGTGCTTGCGGAGCCCTCCTCGGGCTGACCTGGCCCCTGGCCCTCAGCCCTCAGGCTCCTGCCTTCCAGGAGGGAAGAGAGGCCTCACCTCCTAGCGGCACAGGGGTCTTGGGAGATTCTGGGGAGCTTGACAAGCAACGAGTTCCCCCATTTTTTAAAAATATATTTTTATTGATTTTCCACAGAGAGGAAGGGAGAGAGACAGAGAGCTAGAAACATCGATGAGAGAGAAACACCAACCAGCTGCCTCTTCCACACCCCACTGGGGATGTGCCTGCAACCAACGTACATGCCCCTGACTGGAATCGAACCCGGGACCTTTCAGTCCGCAGGCCGACGCTCTACCACTGAGCCAAACCGGTTTTGGCGAGTTCCCCCCATTTGTAAGAGAGTTTTGTGCGCTGGCCTCCCTAGCCTCGGGACAGCACATAATGGAAGCGCTGACAAGCCCAATTATGAAGTCTTTCAGCAAAGCAAACACAGGAAGGCCCATCTGGCAGGCTGGCCCTCCTGCCCCGCACCAAACAGCCAAAGCCAGTGAGCCAGCCTTATTCTGCAATCCAGAATAATCCTTCCTTCAGGCCGCTGCCAACCGGCTGGGAAGTCTGCAGTTGGAAGACGAGTCCAGGGGCTGTCTCCAGCGGCAAACCACGCTATGTCCATTGACAACTACATTTTGATATTCTGCATATGAACACGTGGGTCTCTGGCCCTGGCTGGTTGCTCAGTGGTTAGAAACTCAGCCTTCAGACCATACCTCAGTTGCCGGTTTAACCCCTGGTCCAGTTGGGGCACATGTGGGAGGTAACCAGTCCACGTTTCTCTCTCTCTCTCTCTCTCTCTCTCTCTCTCTCTCTCTCTCTCTCCCTCCCTCCCTCCCTCCCTCCCTCCCTCCCTCCCTCCCTCCCTCCCTCCCATTCCTTCTCAATGGAAAAAATAATCCTCGGGTGAGGATTAAAAAAATAAAAATAAACGAATGGTTCTTTGATTTCTCTCTTTGAACATTTTACCAGTTCCCTTGTTCAACTAATGCAGTGGTCGGCAAACTCATTAGTCCACAGAGCCAAATAGCAACAGTACAGCGATTGAAATTTCTTTTGAGAGCCAATTTTTTAAGACCTAAACTTCTTCTAACACCACTTCTTCAACATAGACTCATCCAGGCCGTGGTATTTTGTGGAAGAGCCACACTCAAGGGGCCAAAGAGCCGCATGTGACTGGCGAGCCGCAGTTTGCCGACCACAGAACTAATGCATTGGGTAAAAATCTTTGGTGCATCTTCTATGACGTCGGTGTGAGAGTTGTGCCCTTGCCTTACTTGTTTAGGGAGTTAACGAGCCCTCCGCAGGGCCAGGGCAGGCGAGAGGCGGAAAGCAGCGTCTCAGTGTCTCTCCGGGCATCAGAGAGGCTCCGGCCCAGGCCAGGTGTTACTGTGGAAAACCAGTCCCAGGGCACATGTGCTTGGCGCCCTGGGAAGACACCTCCCTCTCCCCCACCACCCGGGCCCGGGGGCAGCCTTGTCAGGAGGGCACAAGGCTTTTCACACGTTGAATCATCTTGCAAATCCTTCATCCTTCATCCAGAAAGAAAGACCAACGAAAAAGGGGTTTTTAAAATAAAATGAAATTTAAAGAATGGAATACGGAGGCAGTACGATGGACGGGAAAAAAAAAATAAAGATTTTTGTGCAGCTGTCCGACTGGAGGCCAATCGGGGCTAACGTTCATGAATGAGCGCCCCACACTCTTCTGTGGTTGGATGGCAGCCGTGATATTAAAATAAGACCGAGAAGTCAATGAGAAGGCAGAGGCCTCTCGTCCCCGGACAGCAATCATCCCTCGGATTTAGCTGGGCCTTGGATGTCTGAGGAGCTTCTGTGCCTGGACGCCTCCTACTGCCTGCATCCCAGAGTGACTGGCCTCGGCAAATCGGGACGTTTTTAAAATGCCGCGGACGCGGGACAAATTGTTGAAAATCGGGACTGTCCCGCCAAAAGCGGGACGTCTGGTCACCTTACTCTATGGATAAGCACCAGAGCCCCGAGCTTCCCCTCCCCCCTCGCCACCCCACCTAGGGGCTCCCTGAGGCGAGCACAGGAGGTGGCCCCTGCAGGGCCGGTCTGGCAGCCACACACTGTGCCGTGCTGTGCCAGGAGGCAGAGCGCGATGCCCCTGCAGACTGCCTGGCCGGTCTGGATCATCGCGTTTGCCCGTTACGAGGTTAGGCGCGCAGATCTGGTCAGTGCCGAGCCAGACCCCCTTGGGAGCTTGGCACTGGTAAAGGTAGCCGTCTTTCCGGGAGAGGTGCAGTGAGGCATGGCAAGGGAGTCTCCAAGGGAGAGGACACTGAGTCAGCTAGGAGCCTGTGGAAGGTTCTGGAGTGGAAACAGGATTCCGATGATGTGAGCGCTGGGCAGGAGGACACAGGCCACGCCAGCAGTGACGTGGGAACGGTGGGGAGCGGGGTCCAGGCTTTAGCGAGGCCAACAGAGGCTTTGAGGCGTTCACCCCCTGGTTGGGGCACCCCACCTGTGCCAGACCTTCTCCGGGAGGTTCCTCCTTCACTGAGAGGGGCCGGCACGGGGCCTCCTCACCCTTGGCCTGTGGGGAGGAGCCTGGGCTCCTTCTGGTCACCTCCCGGTTTGGGCTGGACCTCCTGCCTGGATTTCTCCTGACTTGCCACGTGGTTTTGGTGAATGTGAAAGGTGTTGTAATAAAGCCCCGTTTTCCAGTTTGGAGGGAGCAGGCCAGCGAGATCCCTTGGGTGACCAGTCCTTTAGTTCAGGAGCAGATTCCAGCGAAGGGAAGCTGGC